AGGACAAACAAAGAAGAGAAAATACAAATAGAATAGTAAACAATAAGATGCCAAAATAAACACAAATATATTGCAATGATATTAAGTATAAATAGAATAAGGGTCCAAATGTAAGGAAAATAATTTTCAGGTTACAAACATTCTGCTTCTCCAAAGAGATTTACATATCAGGATTCAATGAGTTTGAAATAAAAAGATAGAAATAAATATACCATGTAATCAAAAATATCTATTCAAAAGAACCCTAATAAAAGAAAACTACTGTGGTTATATTTATAATAGGAAAGTTACACTTTTTATAAAGAACATTTTATAAGGATGAGACTATTGTCATTGAGCACAGCAAAATTGAACTAGAAATTAAAATCAAGCATAACAAAATCTCCAAACATGTGGACATTATGCCATAAATTTCAATAACCCATGGTTCAAAATGGAAATAATAGTAAAAATTAGAAATTTTTGAATTGAATGATAATTAAAATAGTATTACCACAACTTTCAGGATAGAGCTAAAATTATGTGTAGAAGGAAATTAAGTGTTAAAATCATATATTAGAAAAGAAAAATGGTACAATTCAATGACAAGTAATATAGTTCAATATTTTTTAAAAGAACAATATATTAAATGCAAGGTACTTAGCAAAAGGAAATATAAAATTAATATCAGATGTTAAGGAAATGAAGAAAAGATAACAGAGTATCAGTATCAGGAGAATCAAAGGTTATTTTTCAAAAGATAAAGAAGTTCATAAACCCTTGGCATTATAGATTAAAAAAGAAAACAAAGACAAAAATAGGAAGAGTCAAGAATAAAGGACAGAATGTCATGACATATTCTAAACACATTAAAATATCACAGAAGGATGTGAGCAATTTTATAAAATATCTTTTAAAATGCAGATGATATGGACAAACTCCTAAAATAAAAGATACCAAAACTGATAGAAGGAAAAATAAAGCCTAAGAAGGCATATAAGTGTGGAAACTTTTCCACAATTAAAAATCTTTCTATAAGTATCCATGACTAAGCAGTTTCACTTATGAATTCTACAAAATTTTTAAGGAAGAATTTATGACAATATTACAAAATCTTCCAGAGAATGGAAAAAAGAGATAATCACTTCTCAATTCATTCTGTTACTTCAGTATAACTTTGATACAAAACCTTACATTATAGAAAACATTATGAGAAATATAAATCATGGGACTATTGCATCCATTAACCTGGATGCAAAATCTCAAGTGAAATAGTATCAGAGCAAATATAGCATTATTTAAAAGGTTATTACATCATCATCAAGTGGTTTTATTCTAGGAATGCAATGATTATTTAACATAAAATCAAACAATGTAATTTATTTTCCATGGGCAAATTACTTCACCTTTAAAAAAGTTTTACTGTCCTCATTTAAAAGTTTCATTTTCTTCATCTGTAAAATGAAGACCATCATAACTCATATATATTATGGCTTTTATGAGGATTAAATAATTAATGTATGTAAAATGCTTAGCACATGGCACACAGTAAATGTCCAACATATCTTAGCTATTTTTATTGCCTTTTAAAAATGATAAATATGAAAAAATAAACATTTACAAGTATATTGAACAATGTAGCAGATTCAAATCTCATTTCTGCAGCTCTCAATCAGAAAACTCTTACTATGTAAAAATATCACCTCAAATCTCAGAAGCTTTACACAACCATATATTTAGTCCATAGTTCCAGAGGTCAGCAGTTTGAGCTGAGTACAACAAAATGGGCTTTCAGATCTCATTCACGTGTCTGTGATCAGCTGTTGGGTCAGCTGGGCACTGAGTGGTCTTGGGAGTTGCAGAGGATCAGCTAAGATGGCTTGTCTCTGTGCCATGCTGTCTCTCATCTCCCAACTGGGTAACTTGGGCTTATTCACATAGTGGTTACAGGATCCCAAGAGAACAAGAGAGGGCAGACACCAATGTGTAAGCATTTTTCAAATCTCCACTTGTATAACATTGGAATTGTCTCATGGTCCAAATCAAGTCACACGGTCAAGCCTAGAATTTCAGTGTGAACGGAATGATGCAAGGATGTGGATATACGGAGCCTTGAATAAATTGGACACAATTACACTAACAATCTACCACAAGTTCCAAAGCAATACTTCATTATTTTAAAAAGATATAAGAAATTGGATACCTGAATTTTATCCATATAAATTACCAAACCATTAAAATTCAAAAAGAATGAGCAATTTTCTTCCAAAACTAATTCTTTACTTAGCATCTCTATTTTAGGAAACCATCTCTAAGTCTCTAAAACTTTAGTTTGTAACTCAAATATCCCTTTCAAATTTAATGCCTATACAATCCAAAACTTCTTCCCGAAGTAGACCCTGGCTTTCCCTCACACTATTCTTATTTCTGCTCACCTCATGACATTTCGTTATCTAAACGATGCTCTTTGACCCTGCCCCTTGAATCATTTAATGTAACTTATCATTTAAGTTTCCAGCTCAAATACTACTTAAAGGTGACAATAATTTATTCTTCGTTGATATAAGAAAAAAGTTAGAGACCAAACATTTATCTAAACTCTCATTGTGTGCCATGAACTTTGATGTGGCTAGCCACATATATAATATTCCATTTGTATTTTTCCTTATCTATTTTTGGAGAATGTGTCTTCTAGACTAGACAGTAAAATTTATTGTGTAAAGGTCATTTTTTGGACTTCCATTTTTTTCTTCCATAGAATTCAGCAAAATAGACTTAGTATTCAATATATACATAATGTATTTCATATTTTTTACTGACTTTGGTGAAAGCTTTTATATAATTTCTTTATATACTTGTAGTATCTTAGTATTAAGTAAGGGAATTCAAACTAAATTAAGTAATATTTCAGAGTCACCAGCAAGATACTTTATCATTTATATCCATAAATCATATATTTTATTGCTTAATAATCTAAATGTTTCTATCTATCTCAACTAACTTTTATATAAAACAGGTCTATAGTGAATTGTATCATTTAATCCATCTGATGCAAATTAAAACTTATTTCTTATATTAAATATGTACTATGCCTAAATTAATATAATTGCTTTTTGACATTTCTAATTTAGGTTTTCTCTGAGGGAAACTTGCCTTCCCCACACATTTACTATTCAAAGTAAATGAAAGCATCCTTTAGAAGTCTTCTTACTAAGCACTGAAAACTAATTAGCACATGTAGTGGTTATACTTATGCTTAGTCTTTTATTCTCAGTGCTGACTGCTTGAGTAATAAGGTCTTTACTTATTTGGCTCTAGCATCTAAAAAATATTTTCTATCTCTGATTAACTGACTTATGAATTTCAAATGTAATTATCTAAAGATATGTACTAAAATTTTGAAGAAAGAAACCTACCTGATACCAAATGATTAGCCCTGAAAACAGGCATATAAATAGAATTCTAATTATAGAAATGACAAATTTGAGTTGACTTATTTACTTGCATTATAATCCATTTGAGATGTGAAGTGGCATATAAAAATAGATACAAAACCAGAGAATAACATAAATAATTGAAAGTGCCATGGAAACAGAAAAAGAAAATAATAAGACTGGGTGAGATGATACATAGCATTCTCTATTTCTACTAGAAACTAGACAAAAACTTGACTCACATTTTTTTAAATTCCAGCAAACCGCTTATACAAAATCAGTAATAAGGTTGAAAGAGTACATGAAACTAAGGAGAATTTATTTCCTATATCCTAATAAAGGCAATACTGGGTGATATAGTAGTCACCACTATAATAGATACAATAAATGTCTTTGCTTTTTGTTTTCTTTCTGTGCTCCTCTATCCAAAACCAAGGACTAAGTCAAAGCATAGTTGCATAAAAGAAAGTTATGAAATCTAAAACAATGCAGTTCAAGTAGGCAGCTCTCTGATTGTCTTTTTCCATGAAAAAAATATTAGAAATCAAGAGAAAAGGATGGACTACATGTTTTTACATAGACCTCCATACTCCAAATCAGATGTTTAAAAAGCAGAGTTTAAGGTTTTGTTTTCTACTAAGAATCTTGAGTGTACAGGTCCTCTGTGTTGCCAATAATGACCCACCCAAATGCTTTGACAATCAATTAGGAGAGTGGATTAATTATTTGCTCCTCTTACTTGTTAACATTAATTCACATCTATAATTATTATTATTGGAAAACAGGATATTAAGAGTGTTGGGATAATTGCATCTGTGGTAACTAGAAAAAAACCGCAAACTTTCAGTGAGAGGGAAAAAGTGTATTTTAGGATGACAATTTATCCTGGCTCAAAATAAGACATAGAAAAGAAAAAACTGTTTGATGGAGTTTTGAAATATCATAGGATGCCACATGGATACAGCATTACTAGGAAATCATATTTGTATTTTATGAAAAGTAGCTAATTTCATGATTTTCATTAAATGTGAAGAAAACTCTGTATATTGTCCTTCATGTAGAACTAGAAAATCCGAAAAAACTTGTACAATACATTTTTAACTTTAAAGAAAATGACTTTAGTGCTAGTGAGTCCAGATTTACAATTTATGTTGTCTAATGTTGAAAAGAAAAAAAAAGTATAAATGTAACTAAGAAAACTAAATAATTTATTATCCAAGTGGAGCAACTCTTTTGAGAGTGAATTAATCTACTGCTAATAAGGAAGCTGGAAAGTTAGGCGCAGACCCAGGCTGACCTTTGCAAATTGGAATGCATGGTCAGCATACTTATAACTGCTTCTCAAAGGCAAGCCCAAAGCCGAACATTTACTCTTCCCCAAAATCAACTCCTCTCCTCAAGCTGTTTAATCAGAAGATTGCCTGCCCTCTTATCTGTAACTAAAAATAGGTCAGCATTAAATTTTAAAAATCGTGTTCTCAACTGCTAGTCACTGATGCTCACTGAATGTGGACATTCTTTTCTCCTTAGAAAGGGCTAATGCTTCCTGCTGATAGAAGTACCAACTTGCCAAGTGTTTCATCTTACCTTAGCTATATTTATTGCATTATGGATCCGCCCATCTTTCTCATGATCCTTTGTTTTCTGTAATGTTTGCCATATTAAGTTTCTGAGTCCATCTTGCTCCTCATCTCCCCGAAGTTCCCATGACATTTTCACCAGGTTATAAACCAAGCCATAGTACCCAATCCATGTCACTTGTTCACCTGTGTAAAAGCAAATATTCTTTGAAAATATATCATTTTATTCATCTTACTAATGTGTGGTTTTGTGAAAAATAAGAAACTTGATTTTGCTAAGATTTTAAAGTCTGCAATTCTGAGCTTTGAAAAGTTTTTTTGTTTTTTTTTTACTTTTCACTGCTTTTCTTTAATTTTAAAGATCACAGTTCATTTTAAAATTTCTAACCATATAAAAGATGAACCACACTTAATTAATAGTATACCTCATAAATTCAAAAGTTAAACAGGAAAACTTTGAACACTGTACTAAAAACAAATCTCTGGAATTCAAATAAAGATGAATTTGTTCAAGGTAGCATGACTACTTAGACCACCATGGTGGATTTTTATAATAAATCAGAGAAACAGTAGGAAAAAAACACTGGTTGTTCTAAAAATGATCAAACTATGAAACACGGCATTTGAACCAAGAACAAAGCTTTGAAAATAATGTGAGAAGCAGACAAATATTTCTGATATAATTATAGGCTGGAAGATTTTTTTTTAATAATAGACATAAATCAACTGAAATAAGGAAAAGGGAATAATGAATCCAGAAGACAGCAAAATAGTTAAGACTCCTCCTAAAACTTATATACCAATTAGCAATTCATATAAATTACCCAGTTCTACTTTTATTTTATTTTTTTAAATTTTTATTAAATTTATTGGGGTGACATTGGTTAGTAAAATTATATAGGTTTTAAGTGTACAATTCTGTAATACATCATCTATGTATCACATTGTGTGTTCACCACCCAGAATCAGTTCTCCTTCCATCACCATGTACTTGACCCCCTTTACCCTCTTCTACCAACTTTAAAATATGCATTTCCCTCACAAAAAAGAGGAATAAATTTCTCCTTACTCTTTATCTTAATTATTTCTTACCTAGATGGCATACTGCTACGTAATACTATTCAGGAAAAGAGAATTCTAATTTAGGTAGAGAGGGGAATAAATACATTTGGAGAATGAAATAATATAGGTCTCAAGGGGATATGAACTTAAATTAGCCAAAGAACATGAGAGTACTGAGTAGATGTGAAGCGGGTAAGAGAACAAGAGGAAGAGAAGATTCAGAAAGAAAGATGGAAAGATTTTAAAGCCAAGTAAATTCTGTATTGTACTTTCCCCTCAAATCCTGGTGATGGACCATGTGACATTGGAACTCTTCAATGCCCTTCTTGAATAAAGATACAAGCACAATCTGAAAAGTCACAATCCTCAACTTTTCCTAATCCAATCTAGATTTTTATAATCCAGTCTAATAATAATAATAATCACTATTGTTTTATTTGGAACACTTGGGAATACCTACTATGTGTCCTTATTCTAGCCCTCATTACAATCCTGCTCTGTAGACCATATTATACTTAGAATAATAGAAGGGAACACATGAGCTTCAACTTGGTTAGAAAGTTCCTAGCATCAAACAGCTGACGAGTGATGGAGCCACGTGAAGGCTGGTCCAGTCTTATCCCACGAAGCACAGACTCTCCAATTCAGACAAGTACTTCTCCTTCCAATCCCCACCTTCTATTCTATCACAGGAAAGGAAAAGACCAGAAGGTAGAAAGAGGAGGCAGAAGAGAAAGTACGCACACATTTTAGAAATGGGAGGAGGAAGGCATATGTCCAGCTTCCAAATTTAGGGCAACTTTCACCCATTCCGTTGTTGATACTTTAAAAGAGAAAGTATAAACTGTAAATATAAGGCTCCAGTTAAGCAGCTAGTTCTTTTTAAAAATATAATTTCCCCTCATAAAACTTTAATAGTCAAAACTGGTGCACTACAATATTTGACATTATATATAGGGAGTGATGTCAGCAAGAAAGTGGAATAAGAAGACCCCCATCCTCATTCCCTCATAGGAACACAATCTGACAGCCGCCCACGAACCAAAGGGCCTTTTGGCAGACTTTGGGATCCAAACAGAAGATTGAGAAACCCCAGTGGAACTCAATACTGAGGAGGGCCACTTTGATAAGGCAGGTGCGGACCCCGATGTCGGGCCTGTCACCAGGGATGTCCCACCTGTGGACCTGGAAGCACCCTTGTAATCCTGGCAACTAAATTCTAGCCCTGCTTGTACACAGTCCTGCCACCAGCCCGATCCACCAAAGAACCTGGGAGTACCCATGCCTATTGGTGCCCTCGGTAACAGGCACATTGACTATGAACCCAACTGTGGAACCTGAAGCAGCTCTGTGACCGGGCTCCAGCCTCACTCTACTGTGGTCTAGAGGCAGTTCTGTCTACCCAGAAACCCACCCATGGACCGGGCAGAAGCATGCTCAGGGACCAGGTGGAAACTAAATCCATTTGTACCCTTGTTACCAGGCCAGAGATCTACAGACCCAGAAGCAGTCCCATGACCAGACTCTAGCCCTGCTCAATGGAGCAGTTGGTCCATCTGTTCAGGGACCTGGCAGGATCTGTGCCCACTCAGGCCCCTGGTAACAGGCCTGCTGATGCCCAGCAGAGAGGTAGCTATAAGAAGAGAGAAGGTAGAGGAAGATAGTGAGCATCTCAAATTGAGCTGAGGTGTAGAGATCGTATTAGAAATGAATACAGTTCTCCACCTATTTGTGAATAAAATTATCATGAGTTCCAAAATTTTTAACCCATTTCTGCCTGCCTAACTGTGACCAGCCAAGTGAATTTGAGATGTGAAAGAACAGAACAGAGTAAAGCACCTTCTGAGACATTTTCACCTGCATTCATATAAGGAGTCCTGTGGTGATGATTCAGTCAGGGTTTTAACTCCTGACAAGCACTCAAAGGTGATAAGACAAACACATGAGTGGCTCTTCTCTGACTGGGGGAAATGAGAGTCTAAAAGGTTTATTGCTCCAAAGAATTGTAAAAACACCTGCATTTCATTATATGCAAAACATAGTGCTATTTGCTACATTTAGATAAATATGAATGTGAGTCTCTCATCTATCCACAATTTCATGTGCTACTGCTGACTAATTTATCAAGGCAATGGGTCAGGGGTGAAATGATACCAAAAAGTGCTCCAAGCAGCAGTCTAACAAAGAATGTAATATTAAAACTTTTTATAAAGAATTATTTCTAAATCCTTTGAAATTGAATTCCTGGGACTTCTTGGTTCCTAGAGTGAATATTAAGAATTTATTTTTCTGACTTTAATAAATTGCTAAATGCCTTTAAACTTTTAATAAATGTATGTATCTTTTTAGAAAAAAAGAAATAGATAAGGTAAAATAACTAAAGATAAATGGGGTCAGATTAAATGGTAGATGTTTGAACAAAAGAATAATCTTATATCTGTTCAATGAAATGTTATCTCTATTCAAACAATAAACTGGAAAACCAGTATGGGAGTTTTAGGAGGTAATCTAGGTGTTTGCTGTGATGAGCTGAGATTAGAGAGTAAAGGATAAACCTAAGACATTGTGGAGAATTTCTAATAAGGCTTTTTAGCTATAGAGTAAGAGGAAGGAATGAAGTATAAGAAGAAGGAAAAATACATTTTTAAGCTCAGGAAACTGAAACAATAATGAAATCACTTAAAGAAATCTGATTATGTAGAAGAGCCTGTTTGGGGAAAAATGAGACAATTATTATTTGGAAACTGTGGCATGGTGGGGCATGAGGAGAATATAATTTCAGTGTCCTACAGCTTGTTGGGTAAAAATATAGCTAAAGTTCAAGTAAAATAACAGAAGTGAAATTATGAATTTGTGAGTCATTAGCAAAAAATAAGGCTTGAATTCAATTAAAAAATATGTGCTTTTAAATTATTGTAATAACTGAAGAATTGTGAACCTCAGAAATAAAAAACATTTTTGAACAACATGATAAGTAAAACATACTGTGGATTTTAATGAATTTATAAATTTATTTATAGACTCCCAAATTCCTTACATTAAAAAGAATGATTGATAAAAGTATATCTACACCACCTTCTTTCATATACTTTAAACTACTTTTTTTAATTGAGGAACAATATTTTATAAGCCTACAATAGTAGAATCATTGAACTGAATATGGTTTGCTTTTAAACTCCACAAGACCAGTGATGAACTCATAAAGTATATTCTAAGAACTGTGCTCTCAAAACTCAAACGCCTTTTAAAATGCCATTGATGATTTTAAAAGTGAGCTGTTCACCTTTGACCTAAACTACAGTGGAGTATTGCTTATGAATAATATTTGTCAGAAGAATCTATTACATCCAATTGACTGACAGTTAATGAAGAGGAAAAAACCTTTATAAAGACAGATGGGATGTGTTACAACTGTCATAAAAGGTGGAATGCATTCTAGTATGCAGGTCTAGATGTTTGCTGAGAAGCATGCCTGCTAGGAAACTCCTCACCCAGGAATGAAGCTATAGCATAAGGCACACTTCTGTTCTGCTTTGAGTGACCCAATGGCAGCTATCAAAGATGTCACTTGAAATATACTGAGAGAAAAACGTGTCTCTTTGCAGCTAAGCAGGCAGTACCCTATGACATAACAAAGCTGAAAAAATTAAATTCTTAATATATCTCGAAAATTTACTAAGAAACCATAGCATTTGAAAACCAAAATTATGATCGTCTTCATTGTAGCTTTATTTTAGTGCTTAAATCCTTGGAAGCCTTTAATTGTCAGTCTGAATATTTAAATTTCACATATTCAATGGGTATGAAATATGAGTATTTCTGCTTATGTTAATGAGTATAAATGAGTATAGCCTTTACAATTTTGACAAATCTAATTTGACACCACAGAATCAAAGGTATAACTGAAAAGTGATTTGAGTGAAAGATGTAGATTACAGCATTGTCTTTATGAAATGCCATGTAAAGTGAAAGGAACTAGATCAATGCCAAGAAACCAGCAGACAAGAGCCAGTCAGCAAGCCAGCCATTTAACAAATATTTACTGAGACAATGCTATGTGCCAACCACTGTCTTATGGCCAAAGAAAAAGACAATGTTACTGTTCTCAGGACACAATGCTAGTA